AGAAGCCTGGAGCCAGTTGTTGCCCTGGGGGGAATACGCTCATAACACACTCTCTAGCTCCGCCACTGGTATCTCTCTCTTTCAGGCATCCCTCGGTTGCCAACCTCCCCTACTGTCCTCCGCTGAAACAGACATTGCTGTCCCCTCGGTCCAGACTCACATCTCCCGCTGTCAGGCCGTATGGGATGAGACCAGGGCCGCTTTGCTGTGCATGGCCGACCAAAACAAACGGCTGGCCGATCGCCACCGTCCGGGCGCTCCCACCCAAGTTGGTACCTCTATACCTCTCAAACCAGCTCCAGACCCTTCCACACAAGAAACGTGACATTCCACATCCTAACAGCCAGTCTACAATGCTAAGGATTGGCACACCCAGGTCTCCGACCTTGCCTGTTGCCCATTTTATATTGCACCAATCCCAACTCCTATTCCTGGAGGTGGTTGGCCCACAGGGTGGCAGCTCCATGTAATATAATTGGGCTTTTTGGCCATGAGACACTCATGGGCATTCTCCCCTCATAATTGTGTCTTCAGCACAGTGCCATGATTTATAAGAAAATACCTATTCTGGAAATTGTCAGGTTTGCCCGGCTGCACCTACTTTCTCACTCCCCTCACTCTGTTTTCACTCCCTTATCCTGATTACGTTATCCCTTACACCTGCTTCTTACCCCCGGATTATCACCAGCTGCACCTGATTAGTTTCTCCCTATTTAGCCCCTGCTCTTCGTTCACTCCCCTGCCAGTTCTTTCTAGCATTTCTCAGGCCCGTTTGTTCCCCGTTGTTCCTTCTGATCTGTGTTAGTTATTTTGTCTCCTTCTCTCCAGCTACTTTTTATTCATTCCTTCCTTGCCTCAGTCGCTCCTTCGGATCACGGACCTCCTCCGCTCTGTTTCATCACCACCCTTCAGGTCGATGCACAGTCTACTACTTACCGTATGTACAATTTCTGTTCCTCTTCAGTACCATCCAACTCGACCAGTCCAGGAGTGAGTCCCAGTGTCCGCAGCCCGGTCCTCTTCTCATCATCTCTACCACTGACTGTGTTCCCATCCAAAGCTCGACACCCGGTCCCAGTGTTACTCGTCTGTTCATTTCTTGGTCACTTGTTGTACACTGTAAATAAACTTGCACTGCTTGCATCGAAGTCAGCCACCTGGGTCCGTCAATTTTTGTGACTCGTTCACTTCCGTGTTCGAGCCATCCTAACACTAAATCAGCTTTCTGAGCCATGGCTAATTCTGCATAGTATATTTAGGAAAGGCTGGAGCCATCGGCGTCGCTAGACCACTTGTACTGGGGCACGTGCCCCAGTGTAAATCAGCTGCGCCCCAGTAAATATATTCTCATATTTGTAAGGGTTTTTATTAGACCATTCTTCAGAGAAACTAAATGCAAGACAGTCAATAAACCAATTGACGCACGTAAAAGAAACACAGTAAAAACAAAAACGTGCTGCAGCTGCACGTGGAAACTATGTTCCCGCGCGGCGTGCCCATTTATACTGACCGCGCGCACGTTTCAAATGCCAATCAGTGTACGTTGCGCGACGAGCAGGTAAGATGATGTATGAAATCGCTGTGAAAGTAAAGTTTCCATGGTGTTAGCTATACTATCTGAACAATGACCAATTCCTCCTGTAGATGGATATCAGAAAATTCTTGTTTTTTCGAGGCAAAGGGAGGGAAGCAGAAAGGAAAGATGAGTTTGAGGGAGGTAAGACAAATGTTGTTGACAAGTGAGCTATAGCTAACAGACTTGCAGGTCTGTGTGTAGTTGTGAACGGTCATTCAGCGCACTGAGACGACTCCACACTTGGCTGAGGTGCACAATGGACCAAGACAGGCTTCACCATTTTACTGTCTTATCAGTTGAGCAGGAATACCTTTGTGGACAAGACGCTTTTAAGCTTGGGGAAATACTTTGCTTTACTTTGTGTATAGAATGTGTAGGATATGATATTAATTTGTAGTTGCTGAAGTCTTATTTGGACATGTTTATGTCCTCCGTTTTGGTAGCATTCGTGTGTGTATGCTGTTTATTCTTTGAAAATGAAAAATGACATCTGATAAAAATTAAACCACTTTTTTTCTGAGGGAGTACTTATTATTCGTTAATGTTAATTATTCATGTGTATAACTGTGTAATGTACAACTGTATGTATTTATCTATATCTATCTATCTATATATGTATGGGGGGGCCTGTGCCCCAGTAAAGCTTCAAGTCTAGCAACGCCCATGGCCATAGCTAATGAGATGTAATATCAGACAACCAAGTGAAATGAGTTTCTAATTTAAAGGTGTTTTTTCTGTTTGGGGATTCATTTCATCTGGAATAATGTGCAAAAAGCAGGTGACAAAACACATTGCAGAGACTTGATCCTACTCCACTGCAGTTGACATTGTGTTTACTGATGAACTGAAACTGATGAACCCTGACAACAGTGGAAACAGACTCTGAGAATTACAGTATTAAACTCAACCTAAATACATAATAAACATGACATTGGGTGGTATAAATAGGTGTCAGTAATGCAAACTATTTGTGAGTTGTTGTTGGATTTGTGCAATAATAAATGGTATGGTCCTTTATGTTTACTATAAACTGTTTTAGTTTGGCCTTTGTTTTCTTTGCTTTGCAATTAGTAGCAGGGTGAATAGTTAAAATCATAAAAACGCTGCATCCACTTGCAAATTTACATAAAGTATTAAAATAAATATTGTGAAAATGTTAACTGTTCGGCTAAAAATAGCAAAGAGGTAAAAATTAAATCTATCCAGCAAACTGCAGGCCCTGATTTCCATCCTATTTTGTGTTTTCCTCGTGTCCCATAAACTCTTTATATACAATCTGTTGTGTCCCCATTCTGAGAGTGTGTCACTGAAACTCAACTTATGTGGTATCTTGTTGTAACGTCCCTGTCCAAGGTCCTAAAATCTGCGTTCCCAGGCTGCGTCATGTGACTTCAGCCAGCACTGCCTAGCTCAGCACCAAGCCTGCTGGTTTCTGGAGGTTTCATGTGAGACTAGGACAAACCCCGAGCCGTTTTCTCTCTCATCTTGCTTGGTTAGACTGTTCCCGCCTCCCTTTTGTGTTTTTACACGAACGGATAATGTGGAGCTTCAATGCGCTCGGCGTATGACCAGTGATTTTAGGATGCTGGGCTTGTACCGCTCGTTTTGTTCCTCTTGCTTTACTTAAATGCCAATACGGTGAATGCGTCGGACAGAGTGGACAAGCCTGCTGCTAGAGGTCCGCGTTCAGAAAGTCAACATCTTGCCTTTTTTAAAAATTTCTCTGGAGTGACTTCAGAAGGATGTAACGACCGATCCACCTTGCACAGCTGAAGTCTTCTCCTCAACATGCAGAAGGGAATACGACTTAATGATGGTCATGTCACCTACCTGGGGCTTTTGGCAAAGAAGGATGGTACAAGACGGGGGTGCTTGAGCAAAAAGAGCTCAGACAACACGAAATGGCACACAAAGTGGTTTGCTTTGTTACAGAATATGCTCTTTTATTTCGAGAATGAGTCCAGCTCTCGACCCTCGGGGTTATACCTGTTGGAAGGATGCATATGCGACAGGGCGCCTTCACTGAAACCTTCACTGTCAGCCAAGGAGTGTTTGGAAAAGCAGGTATGGAGAGCCGGCTTTTCGCCGGTGTCAATGGGAGGCCTCGAAGTGAATAGTGGAACTATTTCATGTGGATTTGGCTTCGATATTCTCTCTCTCTCTCTCTCTCTCCCTCTCTCTCCCCCTCTCTGTCACTGCTTTATTGCTTTCAGGCTTCATGTTACAGATACTGACAAGGTGCAACGCTGAATATAAAATTAGTCCCTGCGCTGCAAATGCCTTTTAACGCAGTTTTTGCCGCAAACAACGCGTTTTCTGATGCATAGATCCTATCGTATGATGACCTCAAATCCAGAGCATCAGAATAGCACGAGGTTCCAAACTGCTGTATTGCGTGTTATGTAATACACGCATGGCATTAATGATGAGGTAACAATATTAACACCTAATGATATTACAGCAGCCCTGGCAGTGGGAGAGTTGGAGAGTTTTCAGTGGTGCATGAGATGAGATGTCAATGGATTTTGTCATTAGGATGATGTATTAGCCTGGTTGCTCATCTTAGCTTCTGACTTTGAATCATCATCTGTTCTGACGTTTTAGAGCGGACAGTGGAATATTTTAACTCTTCTTTCAATAAAACATGCAAAATGGATCGATCGATCGATAGATAGATAGATCGATAGATAAAAGTTGTGGCGTCAAGGTTTCCATCTTGTGGTGAAATAAAGAAAGCACAGTTAATGCTCAAGAAACAGCAGGGAGCCATAAAAGTCGACTCTGATCTATGAGCAGAATGAAATTATCCAGTTTAATGTCGTAATTTTCATCAGCATTGTGCATGATTACTGTTGCAGTCTATATTTAGTAATGTCTCCATCAGACCCTAAGACAACATACTGTATTGCAGGATTTGTACATTTCAGTCATATCTGCGAATGACATGTTGATTTTAAAAGATCCACTGACGGCAGCTTAAATCAGCAAAACACAAAGGTTTGGAAAAGAAAGGTTTGTTAACATTATTAATATGATAAACAGCGGAGGAGCATAATGCTTCACTGCCACTGACTGTGCTCCTCTCACCAGGCGCTGTGCCTGACTCTGTAGCTAGGGCTGCAATCCAAAGTGAGTCCAGGCTCTTCCTGTGAACAGCTGCCCTTGTGCTGACAAAGCAGAATGCAACACATTGGCTAATGCCACGCTCTCACAGTTTCTTTAAAGGCACCCCCAAGGCCTCCCTGAAATATTTGTGTCTTTTTTTTTGTTAATTTTTTGTCATCCGTGCTATTTCCATCTGGCCTCTGCTCTTTTAAATGCAGTCATGTGAATGTAAACATCCAAGCACTGAGAGGTGCACAGATAATGAATGACTAATGTGGCTGATATGATGAAGAGTTACCTCTCAATGTAAGCAAGCACTCATCCTTAAAGATAACAATAAGAGTCAGAAAATACCTTCTGCAACAGTATGTATTGCAACTTTCCAACAGTATTAATATGAATGCTAAAACATCTGGGCTAAATTGTTCCTTGCAGTCTTGCAGTACCTTTAAGGGGTCAGAGCCCATTTATAAAACCCATAGCTCGCTCATATTGGAATTTTAAAAAAGAAACAGCACTTCAACCAGTAACACAAGAAGCTATAGGAGCAATTGAAAGCTGATTTGGTACAATCTGTACTGTAAATGAAAGAATCTGGCCAAGATGTACCAGTAACACATGATGCACTGGGGTTGGTGATGCTGGTTTAGAGAAGACTTGCATCCAAACAGAAATTTCTCATTAAAATGAAAGTAGTTTTAGCACAGCTTTTCCAGACAACGCTACTGTATAACTTTTAAAAGGTTCGGGGAGGTCCTTTTACAGTAGTGCTGCAATAAAACTGAGCTGTTTATCAGTCAGTAGCAATTACAGATGGGGTAAGAATTATTCTACTCATGTAGTAAGAACAACTAATTAATTATTTACCACTCACTCTTATTCACGGCACAGCGGGACTGACAGGCAAGTTTTGCCCCATAACAAAAGAAAAATATTTCATTCACTTAAGAGCAATTATAGGATTTATTAATACTACATGCATCTCAGATCTCTGTTAAGATCAGTAAAGATTTTATAAGAACATGACTCAGCAATGAACATAAAGCAGGAAGCAGACATTATGCTTAACATTGCCTCACACCAGACACACACTGCACTGTTAGAGAGATCATGAGGGGAACTACAACAGCATGCATGCCTCGCTGCCAGAAATAGATTTGCTTTGACGGTAGGATGAATACCTAATGAATGTGAAGATGGAAGCGCAGTCAGCCATGAATAATGATCAGTTGCAGGTTGAGAGGCGCCTGTTGAACATCTGCAGGCCAGAGATTAGAGCCTGGTCTCACTCAGCATGACTGGAACAGTCCACAGGGAAGACATCATCACACTTGTAGCTGTGAATCATTTCATCATGGCTAACTTTTTGGATCTTTGTTTTGTTTTAATCAGTAGTGCATGCTCTATGTACTTATCATCAAAAAGTATCTGCAATAAATCCAATGCTAATATATGACATTTCAAAAGAAAATAGCTTTTATTGCTTTGTAAAATTACAGTTGTAACTGCAGGTGGTGTATTATTCTCTTAATATAAATGTTGAGATTAACTTATTTTCCCTGTTCAGATATTTTTTTTGCCATCAGCCATTTGGACATTTTCATGTGGGGTAAAATATTTCTGTGCCCACAGTGAAAACCCACAAACATCCCTACAGTTCATGTAAAAGCAGCATTTATTCTTTTTACATTCATCCAAATAGTTACACCATTTTGCCACTGCCCTATTAATGGCAGAATTATTCAGTAAAAATAGCCATCCATCTATTTTCTATACCGCTTATTCCTGAGCGGGGTCGATTGTTTTATATACAATATGTTTTGTATAAAAATCTTACTGTCATGTAAATGTAATCAAGTAGAAGTATTAAGTAACATAAAATGGAAATACGCAAGTGCCTCTAAAAATATAGTGTAATGTACTTATATTTAAGAGTAGGACGGAGGGGCAGAGGCTTTCAGATTTAGTTTATCAGAATCACAGCTGTTGCTATTAGCTGTTGCTTCCTGATGAGCCTGATGACAGTTCATAATAAAGTCAACACAATAGTAAAAACCTGAAATTGCAACAGTGCTTCTTTCCTTATTTTTGGAAAAATCCTTTTTTTTTTCTGTTTTAAATATTAGTTAATCAGCTGGTGGTGGTTTTATCACTGACAATCAGAGGAGGTACTTTTTATAGCATAGTTACGAATAGAATTAAGTACAGCAATCACATAACAACAGCAGCCTAAATTAAATAAGTAGAATATAGAATTCGAATGTTAAAACAAAGTGGCATGAGTTCTGGACAGTTCATTACTGCTGAGAGTCAAATGCAATAGGGAGCATGCTCATCCTAAATCAAATGACTCAAGAAAACGCAAAAAAGAGCCTAAGTGCTCACATTGACTAGAGTTGCTAGGAAACCGGTAGCGCACAGTTATGTACTTGGCCATGGCTCCAGCCTACATGTCGTATGGCATTTTCTCCTGGGAACCAGAGACATCCCAGGAACCGAGCAGGGGAAGGTTTCCCTCAGCGTGCGCCATCTATCGCATTAGTGGGCGAGAAAGATGTGGCTTCCCCAGACCTTGAGGGGTTTTAAATCACCCGCTTAACATCTGAAGCATCCAGGCAGTGAAACAAATATAAAGACAAAAGCAGTGGAGGAGCTCCAAGTCAAGCGACTATATCACAGATTTATCTAGAAGGTATCCCTTAATGAATGCTTCTTTGTGTGTAGAACATGTAACATGTCAGGTTAATGATAGTCCTGTTGTTTCTAACTAGAACTCCTCACCCTCTCCCCCATTCGTTTCAGTACTATTTCACTGTCAGCTTCACCCATGAAAACCAAAAGGCACTCGAGTTACGCACAGAAGATGTAAAGGACTGCGACGAATGGGTGGCTGCGATATCACATGCCAGGTAAACGCACAGATGAGTGAAATGTGCAGACATGGCAATTATAAGCTGAATTACTCAGTAGGGGGGTAAGTAATCTTTGATTGATGTGCTGTAGAGGTTGTTGCCATAGTTTCATAAGCGGGGTTAAAGTATGAGGAATGACAGACTTGAGAAAAAGCGCAAGACACACCTGATTGCTTTGATGTGAGATGAAACTACATGCATTCATGTGAAATCTATTACTCTAGCAAGCTCCAGTAAAACCATGCATGTGTGTGGTTTGTGTGTGTGTGTTTGCATGTGTTACAGTTACAGAAACTTGGCCACCGAGCATGAGACTCTCATGCAAAAGTATCTTCATCTGCTTCAGATTGTGGAGACGGAGAAAACAGTTGCTAAGCAATTTCGACAACAGATAGAAGATGGGGAAATAGAGATTGAAAGGCTTAAGTCAGAGGTAATATTTACTGTGATTCTTTTAAGCTCTGGAGTAGTGACGTAAACAAATGTGAATGCATTATTCGCATGTGAAAGATAATCCTCTGAACAGAAAATATTTTAATACATTGATACAATTAACAAGCATCACACCGCTACCTCAAGTCAAATATAGTAGGCTACATCTACAAATAAGCTGAATTCACTCTTTACAGTAGTGCCAGGACCTCCAATGTCTGCTGAGGAAAACATTGATAAATTGTTCCTCATAATCATGAGGAGCAATTTCTTTTGTAAAAAAAAAAAATCCAGGTCATTGTTGTCAGTACTGTCACACAGGAACTACTTCTATCTAAAGCAGCACCTTTACATGATGAGGTTTTACCAAAAGACTCACAGAGAGATGGTCGAAATACACTACTCAGACCATCAGTGAGGTTCGTCCTCTAGTCTTCACCAGGTTCTTTTGGTAGTTGAGGATAAGATGCACCTGATGTTTCAGGTGTGTTTCTTACCTCATGATCTAATATCGATGTTTTTCAACTTGTCAACAAACAGAACATTCAGGAACTGACGTTCCAGTATTTTGTGGTGTAAAGCTAAATACAGATATTTTTGACTAGCATTGCATTGCACCCCTACTCAGGAGTAACTCTTTGAGCTATTGCTTCAGGTCTTCTAATAGCAGTCCTTTACCTGTTTTGGGGTCCTCCACTGTAAAATAAGTTAAAATATCTGGGATTTTGTCCACTCTGATGGAAACCCAATATCAAAGGATTACAGGATTATCCATCTATAGGCAAATGTGTGGCAGTTGCACACATTATCAGTCAGATAAAAATAAATAGCCTTCCTGAACTGGCACAGTAATACTATTGCCACTGCTTTTTGGTTTGCAGAAACAGTGAGAGAGCTATGTATTGTGCTGCTTGTTGCTCTGTTTGCCTCATATGTGAAAACTGCTGTGAGAGGAGAAACTGAAGCACTACCCATGTTCAGACTGTCCACACTCCACTTTGCATCTCCTCTTGGAAACAATGGCTCCAAAAGGGCTGCATTCTCGGCTGTATTCTTCAGATCAAATATTTGTTGTACTTTAATGTGTAAATGTGATGCTTGACATCAAATTATATGATGAATATGCATGAACATGGATTTCTATTGCATCTCTTTATTAATGGCAATGACAATGAACTGTCTCGCTGTGTACAAAGTAAATGGAGACACTTAGCTTCAAACAGTTCATGGCAACTGCTGTCTTTTTTCAGCAGCCTGTCTACCTCTTGTCAACATGCAGGACAGTTTGGTACATATTGCATTTAAATGACCCCTGCAAATAAATATTGATACAGAGGTACCAGCCAAGTGAACAAACCAAGCTTAGTCAGGCTAATGTCTCAGTGTTGACAGTGCTGACAGGTCCTGTCCTGTTGACTCAGTCACTTTGTTTACATGCTGGTACAGTAAGTGAGAAGAAGGCAAGTATGTAAGTGGGAATGATTGGTCTTGTGGTTGCTTCCCTGTGGCAGATCGCTGGGTTGCTGAAAGACAATGAAAAAATCCACGCCAGCCCTGCAGCTGCCCCAACTGAGGATGATTCAGAAATAAAGAAGATCAAAAAAGTAAAGCATGCAGTCTGAGCTTGTTGCTAAATTCTAGACCATATTTAGATATTGAGAAACTGACCACAGCCTTTAAAAAACTGGCCTGCTGCAGGTCCAGAGCTTCCTGCGAGGCTGGATCTGCAGAAGAAAGTGGAAGACTATCATCCAGGATTACATCCGCTCACCACACGCAGAAAGCATGAGGAAGAGGAACCAAGTGGTCTTCAGCATGTTGGACTCAGAGGCCGAGTATGTCCAGCAGCTTCACATCCTGGTGAACAACTTTCTGAGGCCGCTCCGCATGGCTGCCAGCTCCAAGAAACCGCCCATCACCCATGATGATGTCAGCAGCATATTTCTCAACAGGTTGGTACCTCCCATGCCACAAGACTGTCCTATAAAAATCATCTTAAATGTGCCCTGTGGACTTTTCCACCATTAGTAGCATTATGGAGAAGTGTGTCCATGAATTGATCCCTGATTTGTTTGTATTTTCAGCACACACAAGAATGCACGAGTGTGCAGCAACATACAAGACATTTTCTGGCCACCAGTTTCTGGCTATACCACTGATCAGTGGCAATTATAAAAATCTAGCAATGTACCAACTAAATGGAGCACATGTCTGAAAAAAAAAATCTTTATTTCAGTTGTCATTATCTTGATATTGGTACACTGTACACTTTTCTGTCTCATTTCAAGACTGATACAAATGTCTTTAAAATTCCTAAATGAATTGTGTCAACATTTAGAAATTGTCATTGATAGTGATGGCAATCAGTCAGTTCGAAGTCCAACACTTTAATCCAGAAGGAAATATCTTGACAACAACTGGAGAGATGACCATTAAATTTGATACAGATGTTCCTAAATCCTTAGACAATACTGCCCTAATGTGTCGCCTCACACAGCTGGCAGTTTCAAGTCCCTGCTTGTCCAACTCCTCCAAAACTAAATGTCTGTTGACGTTTGTGACATTTAGAAATGTATTTATGAGAATGTTTGGTTGACCTATGACCTGTCTCTTGCATAGTAGCTAAATGTTCTATTGTATACCACATGCCAATATGCTGAATGCATGAATGCATTGTTTTACCACAGAAATACAGTCATTTTACAGCAAGAAAATCAAGCTTTAAACAGCAAGAGACCCAGCAATATTTGCTGTACCTCACTTAAATTTCATAAACAAGGTTTGTTAATGAAAACATATTTGACTATGTGAAATGAAATTACACACTGTTTGCAAGTTGAATGCAATTTATTGGTAAATGGTAAATGGTCTTATACTTGTATAGCGCCTTTCTATGCTTTTACAGCACACTCAAAGCACTTTCACATTATTCGGCCATTCACCCATTCGCACTCCCAAGCACTCTCGCATTCACACAATGCCATATACTGTATATGTACCATGTACTGTGTATTACATATGAAAGCCTAATATCAGTGTTTCCTGGTCCTTCAGGAACATCTTTGCTGGACAGTACAGTGAAGAGTGCAGTCTCCATGTGCCCTCACTGGCCTATTCAAAATCCAGCCACACACTCATCTAAGCACGTTCACGCTCAAAACATGCACACCCATGCTCTTGTGCACACTGTTTGATGTCAGGGCTTTCATTTATCATATACTTCACTGAATGTTGGCAGAATTATTAACTCTCAAACTTTGTGTTTGTTTGAGAAGATAATCAGTTTCACTATTATTTTTATTTTTATTTTTTTCCAGTGAAACTATCATGTTTCTACATCAGATATTTTACCAGGGTCTAAAAGCTAGAATAGCGAGCTGGCCAACATTAGTGCTGGGTAAGAAACATCTCTTCTACATTCTTTGTTTCAATTTCATAACTTTTTTTCATACCGTTGTGACTCCACGAAAGAAGCTCTTAGTATTGTTTGTGTCATTGTAGTATTCCTCTATCTGCAGCTGACCTGTTCGACATCCTGCTGCCCATGCTTAACATCTACCAGGAGTTTGTGAGGAATCACCAGTACAGCCTGCAGATCCTAGCTCACTGCAAGCAGAACCGAGACTTCGACAAGCTGCTGAAGCAGTACGAGGCCAAACCCGACTGTGAGGAGAGGACTCTGGAGACCTTCCTCACATACCCCATGTTCCAGGTTAGCTGATTTGTCTCACTGATATACCCAAGCAATATACTGTAGGCAGACCCATTTGTTTGCTGCAGAGCTTCAGCCTGAAGCCAGATTTTATTGTTAATGCTGTGCTCTCACAGCCACTCTGGCCCACGTTCTCTCTGTATAGGAACGATACCTTTGGGCCATATATTTCAGCAACTTAATACTAGGTGGCTATTGCAATGCCAGTGTTACCTGGCTGATGTTGTCAGTAAAACGTCTGTGTGTACCTATAATTTGGATGGCCACTAGTTTTAAAGTAATTTTTCCTCCTTTCTTGTAGTGTTTCTTACTGTAAAATACATTTTTGACCTTAAGGCTTTTGACTTTTAAATAATTTTAGTCTTTTGTGCGTTTGCAACCCACTATCACTGCTAAATCAACTCACTAATATTTTAAATGAACAACTAATACCACAGAGTTGTTTATGGCTGTAATGTTGTAAATACTAAAGTTATGGGGCCCTAGTTTGGGGATCCATGACATCTGATCAAGATGTATAGGCGCAAGTGATGTTTTGGTGTTTCCATGTTAATTTCGGTAATTTGACGATGAGTTAAAAAGGGTTCAAGCTCCCTAGCCAGTCATAAAGGGCTGTACTTGATCTCCTCATTATAGCAGGGGTGTGTTTTGGGCGTGACATGCAATTATCCAGTCAGTGTGTAACCTCACATTGCCTTTAAGAGACGTGTGATTTGGCGGATTGCTAGCATACTGGCGGACTTGCCAGGTCGGGCATCAGTGAGATTTTCTTTTGAGGAAACACAGACACGCTACCTGTGTGGTACGCCATGCCTTTGTTGCAATGTAACATTCAATTAGAGTCAAATGAGAAATCCATACATAGTGTATTTAGCTATAAATCTGGGCAGAAGCTGGACACTGAAGTCATGTCCTCGGTACTGTCTCTGTAAATCTGGGAGTTTACATTTTTACAGAAAAATTGCAAAAGCTTTTTAAAATTATGTTTCAGATATGAACAGTATGTTCATATCTGAATGAGTGGGAAATTCTTTGAAGTAGTATGTAGAGATAAAACGTTTAGAGATGTAACTAAGCAGTTAGTGAATTTGTCAAAAAACGACTGAACGGTTCATGCATTGATTCTATCACACCACAGATGCTGTGACTAATGTGTCTTACCCAGAGTATATTCAGACCTAACACCAGGTTACCCACTTCTTAACCATGTCCCATTACTGCCAGTGTACATAAGGTGTGATTTGCAGGTTTACTGAGTGCCTTTAAAGCATATCATAGACTCAGTTATATTCAGTTATTTTCAGTTAACCTCTTTAGCCTCAGCACTGTTTTGGTCATTCTATTATCTGAGACTAAGCTGAAGATGTAAGGTGACCCAGCTCTCTCCATTAGAGCTGACGGCCTGCTGGTTAACTTTTAAAAAACCCACTTGTACAGGTGTTCATTTGAAAATGATCAAAGACAACAGGTTGTTACAGCTGGGAGGCGACAGTGGTGCGGTGGATAGAGCAGTCATCTCCCAGCTGGAAGTCTGAAGCTTCAAATCTCGGTGCCTCCAGTCCACATGTCAAAGTGTCCTTGGGCAAGACACTGAACCATTGTCCCCGATGGTTAGAGCCATCGGGTGAGTTGGCACCGCAGATGGCTGCCTCGGTACTGTACCGGAAACAAATTCTTTGTGTGTAACATACTTGGCCAATAAAGGTGATTATCCTTATCCTGAGGTAGTTTGCAATATGTATGATAAAGGGAGTTTTAGTATACTGCCCAGATATAAACTATATGATATATAATTGGGCATATTTCATACTGAATAAATAATAGTAATCTTGTAACTAAAATGATTGATTTTGACTGTAACTAAAGCAACATTTTCATCCATGTGTTCTGGCCAGAATGGCTAAGTCAGTACTTGGTCTCAGTGACCCACCTCCTTCTTAAACACTCACTGGGAGTGATGTCCCATATTGTAGCATCACTGATCAACAACAGAACCAGCAGGCATTTCTCTGCGTTTGCTCAGAATATCCCTGCAGTGTTTTTATGTCTATAAAAAGTGGCTGTTTTGGAGCTCAGACTTTAATAATGGCTCCTTTCTGGCATGGCAGGTAGTTTCCCAACAGTCCACTCTGCTGGCGCCTACTGCAGGCTGTGCTGTGTTGATAATAAATTTTGCTGATGAGTGTAGATTGTGCTCTCTACTGATCTACTTTTCATTAGTCTACATGCACATGTCTTCCTGTGTACATGTTTGTGTTGTTGTTACATTTATGGTTCCATGTAAGCTGTTATATTTGAGTGTGACTCCCCTGTTGCCTTCTGCTTTGTCTCTAGATTCCGCGCTATATTCTTACGCTCCACGAACTTCTGGCCCACACACCTCATGAGCATATAGAAAGAAACAGTCTGGACTATGCCAAATCTAAGCTGGAGGAGCTTTCCAGGTACTTTCGTCTAATATCGTCAAAACCAAAAATTGCATGGTGCCTCAACTGCACACCATAACTTGGCATCAGCATCATAAACCAGGCATGTGGACGTGCTTTTTCAGCCATAAGCAGTGTCTGCAGGTGTCCTTTCATTCAGTGGTAACAACCTCACCAAAAACACAGGGGCAGCCAGTGTGAGAGCCTGAGAGGGCAAATCAAGTCTGTAACACTGGCTACTGCTTGTGAAGCCTAAGATGTGTATATCAACATTTTTTCTCTTCTCTTAAAATTAACTGATGGATTCTTTATGAAAAATAATAGATTTTGAGTGCCCCCAGTTTAAATTCTGCCCACAGCTGTAAAATGAACATTAGCAGTAAGACTTTGTTTTTCCTGTCTTGTTCCATACTGGATCTCATACTTTTTCTGATTAAATGAGAATGATGAAATGGCTCTTTTACCAGAATCATGCACGATGAAGTGAGCGAGACCGAAAACATCAGGAAGAACCTGGCCATAGAGCGCATGATCGTAGAGGGCTGCGAGATTCTCCTTGACACCAGTCAGACGTTTGTAAGACAAGGTAACGCCTGCCCTCAAGTGTTGTACTTCAAAAGAACTGAATTGTGTAGAGGGGTATTTCCTGTCCGTCGTCACCTGTCTGAAAGCCCAGCCTCACAAGTTCAGCACTGTACAGATGGGAAATAGTTTTTTCTTCTTCTTCTTCTTCTTCTTCTTCTTCTCTCTCTCGCTCTCTGGGGAACAACATGTACTCTTTGTGAGGAGAGTCTTTAATTTCCAAGTGTAATTATACTGTTCTGAGGCAAACTGATGATGAATCTGGGCTTGTAAATGTCATCCATCCCCAGCAGGCCTTGATGGGAGATGAAGGAGAAAACAGAAATGGTAGATTATTTAATCCTTATTATCTCCTGTATATGTATTCAAATGTAGAGGGCAAGATGAGCAAATTAAGACTGATTCTTTTATCTTGCTCATTTTTTCTTACCCCTCCCTGTCTTCCATTTATATATGTAT